AAAAAAAAAAAAAAAAAAGAAAAAAAAGTCAATCAAGAATCCTCTATCCAACAAAGCTATGTTTACAAATGAGTCCGAATACATTCCCAGATAAATAAAAACTGAGGGAATTTGATGCTGGCAGTCCCACCTTATAAGACACACTGTCGGGAGTCCCTTGGGTTGGGAATTCTGATCCACAGGAGGACTCGGAGCTCGCCAGTCAGGGAGGTCATGTGATTACAATAGACAGGGTGGCCCCGAGCTTTCCTCCTTTACTGAGTCTCCTGTGGTTTGCTTTTCCGACTAAAGCAGCTGCCTGCAGCAGGACGCCCAGACTGCATTGAAGGGTCTGGGGCGTGAGGTGATGTATTCGACAACACAAAAGAGGCAGGTGGGAGCAAAGCTGCAGTGGGCAGAGGAAATGACTGCAGAGGGCACCTTGGATCACAGGAAAGTGTCAAGGGAACAAGAGATGATCAAAAGCCTAGGAGAACCAAAGCTGAAAATACAACACTTGCTTTCCTGTCTTCTCTCAGCTTCTTAGAAGTCGTAAAAGCATATTAGGTAATAATTATAACAATATATCGAGAGGTTTTTAACATTGACAGGTGGAGTGTATGTAACAGCAAGACCACAAAGGGACAAGAAGGGATGGAGCTCTGTATGAAAAGGAGCCTGTTTTTACATCACTGGAATTGACTAATGGAAGTCGGAAGCTAATTCTGCCATGTTAAAATAAACATGGAAGCTCCAGAGCAAAACTAGGAAAAACTAAAAAAAATAGTGAAAAATCATTAAAGAAATAAAAACACTGCATGAAAAAAATATTTGCTAAGCGCAAAAGAGCACACCAAAGAAGAACAAGAGGAACACACACATAAGAGACACAAGACACAGAGGAAACAAGACAGTGACGTGGCCGACAAGATCTAGCCACAGCCCATTCGCACCACTGACGGTGACGTGTTACGGAAAATCACTGCATGTGCTGGGTTAGCAAATAATAACCGTCACTCCTAGGGGAACTAGAGTTAGCTTCCTGTGGGCCCTGGTCCCATTTTTGTCAACTGATCAATGTGTGTGCCTGGGAAAAATGCAGTGTCATTCTTCACTCACGTGTAATGCTTCTGACACCAGGTATGTGGGTTTTTTCATGGACCAGCTCTCTAACACCTTCTGGGTGTCCCACAGTTCAGTTCCATTCTGACACTGGTGCAGAACCCCAGGTTAAGAGCTCAGACTCATGAGACTACCCCCACTTCAGATGCCAACAGTAGATGCCCAGTTACTCATAACCTGTGATTAGGCTACAAGGAAGAGGTTCCTATGATCTCCTCCTTGGGTTCAACACTTTGCTAGAGGAGCTCACAAAACCCTAGAAAAGAACTGACTTCCTACTGCTGACTTATTGCAAGGGATATTTTTAGAGACAAACAGCCACATGGAAGGATAGAGAGGGCGAGGTCTGCAGGGGTCCTGAGTGAAGGAGCTTCTCTCCCTGTGGAACTGGGCTGTGCCACCCTCTTGGCACGTGGACACATTCAGCAAACTGGAAGTTCTCAGAATTCCATACATTTGGGATTTTTATGGAGGCTTCATCATGCACACATGATTGATTATTAACTCAATTTCTAGTTCCTCTCCTCTTTCCTGAGGTTGGGGATGGGACTGAAAGCACCAAGCTTCTAATCAAAGCTTTGTCTTTCTGGTGAGTAGCCCCATCCTGAAGCCAACTAAGAATCACTTCATTATAGCAAAAATCATTCCAACCACCCAGGAAATTCCAAGGGATTTAGGAGCTCAGTTTCAGAAACTGGGGTTGAAGACCAAATATTAGCAAGAATGAGGGATATATATATATATATATATATATATATAATCATTTCACAATGAACACTTATTATTTGTTGCTGACTCTTTAACACTGAAGTCACTCCCAATAGCAATATAGCACACCCCTGAAAGAAGCTTATCTAACACAAGCATTTTCCCTGTGAGGCACATCACAGCCTTCTTGTACTTAGGAGGCCACTTCAAACTGTGACCTCACCAATAAGAAGCACAAGAGCCTGGAGAACATGGCTTAAATAGGCAGCACAGGGTACTAGTTTGCAGCATGAGCTGAAGCAAGAGGCGGAGTTGTTTGACCTCAGCTGGAAACATGCATGTGGGGACACCCAATGTTTTGGTGACCTGTGCATGTCCATGAATGACTGTGAAGGCACCATGAGTATTGACTTTGAGGTTACAAATCAATGTTAGTGAGTAGGTGAAGTTGCAATTGCAAAAAGCCATGAATAATGAGGATCAACTATATATCAATAATAACATTAATTGTGAATTAACTCATACAATCAAAGGGAAGATTGTTAGGATAAAATTGAGATTGAACCATACACTCATTACAGGAGACACACTTAAGAGTAAAAGATACAGCTAGATTGAAAGCAAAAGGATAGAAAAAGATATATCATGGAAACAGCAGCCGTAAGAAAATAATCATGTTTTACTAACATCAGATAAAGTGGATGTAAAACAAAAATTGTTACTAGACACAAAGACATTTTTAATGATAAAAAGGTCAATCCATGGAGAATATATAATAATTGTAAACATATATGCAAATAATAACACTGAAATACACAAAGCAAAAGCTGACAGACATAAAGGAAAAAAATAGACAATAATAGTAGTTAAAGACCTCACTATCCCAATTTCAACAATGGATAGAACAACTGAAGAGAAGATCAACAAGGACACAAAGAATAGCACGATAAACCAGCAAGACCTAACAGATCTGTCAGATACCTCGGCCAACAACAGCAGAATATCCTTCTTCAGAAATGCACATGGCACATCCTCTAGGATAGAACATAGGTTATGCCATAAAACAAACCCCAATACATTAAAATGGATAGAACACAATGGAGTGAAATTAGAATTTAGTAACAGAAAAAAATTGGGGGGATTCATAAATTAAACAGCACACTCCTGAATAACTAAAAGGTCAAAGAAGAATCAAAAGGGGGATCATAAGATACTTTTAAATGAAAGTAAAGAACAAAATACCAGAACTTACAGGAGGCAATTAAAACCCTTCTTAGAGATTTATAGCTAATAAGTACATATATTAAGAAAGATTTATAGCTAATAAGTACATATATTAAGAAAGGAGAAAGGTCTCAAATAAATAACCTAAACTTCTACTTTAAGACACAGCAGACAAGCAGAAGGAAGGAAATAATAAGAGTAGGGCATAAATAAGTAAAATAGAGAATAGAAAAATAATAAAGAAAAATCAATAAAACAGTCTCTTCAAAAAGATTGAAAAATTGACAACACTTTAGCTACACTGATCATAGAAAAGAGAAGAAGAGAGGGAGAAAGCTCAAATGATGAGAATCAGAAATGAAGGGGTCACTGCTGTCAGCCTTACAGAAATAAAAAGAATTACAGAGAATTACTATGAACAACTGTATGCCAATAACTAATATAAATTAGATAAAATGAATAAATACTTAGGAACAAGATAACTGCAAAACTAGTGCTCTGAAAGCCATAGAACATCATTTTTATTTTGTTAAAGAAAATCTAAATCAGTGGGAAAACATCCCTGTTCCAGGATGAGAAAAGCTGACACTGTGAGTATGGCAGTATTATTCCCCCATTTATGTATTTATGTAGTCCCTTATCAGAATCCAAGCTGACTTCTTATTGCAAATTGACAAACTGATGATCAAATTCATATGGAATTACAAGGAATGCAGAATAAACCAAAGCAATCTTGAATAAGAACAAGTTTGGAAGACTCACATTTCCCAATTTCAAAATTTACTACAAAGCTATAGTCATCAAGATGATGTGGTACTGGCATAAGAATAGACAGTATTGGTATCTATTCATTTATCAGTGCAATACAATTGAGAATCAAGAAATAAACTCATATATCTATAGTCAATTGATTTCAACAAGGGATTAAGGCCACTCAAAAGGGAAAGTATAGTGTCTCTTCAACAAAAAGTGCTGGGACCACTAGACATGAACATGCAAAAGAAGGAAGTGGAC